GTTACGGAACTGCTTGACGTGGCGTAGAAGTAGCAGACGACGGCGCTGCAGTTCATTATCCTGGTTTGTCGTGAGCTCGGCTGAGTGCCTAGAATCCCAAATAATCCGCCGCCTAGATGTTTGTACACAATTAGCATATATATTTAATGAGGAGCAGAATAGACGGCTTACTGAGATTCTTCAACAACCAGGCCCATTGAGATGAACCCTGTAGGCCCGGTATCGTGTAGTTGAGGCACGCCAGCAGTCACCGCGCGCTTTTCTTCCTCAAGAAGCTGTTTTTTCACTTCGGTCTGGGAGGCATCTAAAACCACTCAGTTAAGCATTTACTTGATAAGAGATGGCGACAAAACGTACGGGTTACCACCGAGATGTACGGATTCGGCTTCTTTGGGTCTTTCTCCCACTCTAAGACCATCTTCAACCATTTATCCTCCAGCCCGTTCTCCTTGAGCGATGAACAAAAGTCGTCGAAAATGGCTTGTTGACGTTTTTGTTCAGGTATCGCAAGAGTTAAGCGGCTATGTAAGGTCCTTCCTGAAAATGTAGTCAGCATATAATCGATCATCGAAGCTCCATGAATTACTTACCGAGCGAAACATACTTCCTAAAGTTGTGGTGCTCAAAGTGGTCATCGAGTGTGTCGTGCCGTGACCCGGGACCCATTTCCTTCGTACTATTCGCGACACGGTTCATCTCGGCCCAGCTCCGTTCAATTCCCTCACCATCAGTGCGGCCCACACCAGGCTTGAAATTTAGCGAATGGGGCGCCTGGCAAGGCACCTTATGCATGGGGCAGTGACACTTAGGGATGCCCCAGTCGAGCTGTACGTCCGGCGGAATATGTAAACCCTTCGGTAACTTGGGCATTCGTGTTTCGAAGCCAAGCTTGAATTGGCAAGCGATGTCGTAGGAGATGAAAACCGAAGCGACGAGGAGCGGAGCGAGGGCAGATAGTAACACGAAATCCATATTGCAGTACCTAAGTCAGTGGAAATCAGCTCCGGCATATTGGCTCAACTCAAGAGGTACATACCGTTCGCCTTTCTGAAGGTCTCCCACGCCCCCAGGGCGAATGATTTCATGTCTAGCGCAGAGGCACATTCCTACGCCGGTTGAGCGTAAACCGGCCGAGAATTGTGTCTCTGCATTTGCCAACGTCTTGAAGCCACTGCAGGTGCTAATCTTTAATAAAATCAATACCCGCACAGAGTAAACGAGAGCACTACGTACATCCTTTTGGGTGGCATACTTTAAAATATGTTTTTGGTACGGCGCGTCTTCAGGGAAGTACGCAAACCCTGTATGTAATCCAGGGTCCTTCTTGAGGCTCGAGCGCATCAGATTCTTCAAGCGAAAATTCGCG